TGAACATCTCTATTATTTTTGTTGTTAGAAGATTGGTAAAAAATCTTTTTTATATTTTACATGACATAGTCACAAAGAAACTCCAAGGTTACAGTATTGGAATTGTTTAATGTAATTTCTTTAAATATGATATCCAATTAAATTATGACATTCATTATAACTCTAGTGCTAATATATGAAATATAAAATTATATGATAGTACTCACTGTTCGGTTAATAACCACAGCAAAATAATCCATTAAATTTTCGCCATAAAAGAAATAATTGGACGTAATTAGAAAATACCATGAGAGAGATCTAAACCATGGTAAACCATGAATTCTATAGACAGCATAGCCAATATTAATAATTTCTTGGAAACATTTCACTTGTACAATCAGCGTCTATTAAAATATATGAAATATATAATATTATCTGATAAATGATTCAATTAAGAGAGAAAAAGAACTTACTGTAGCCATTAGTGCTAATGGTCCAATATAAATAATACCACAAAATCCAGCAATCATAAACAGTGTAAAAATACTTCTAATCACCCAATTTTTCCAGCTAAAATATTAAATAATTTTTTATATGTAAAAATATACATTGCAGTATTTAATCTGCACATATTATTCTCAAATAATTATGGAAGTACATAGGAGAATTTTACCGATCAGGTAAGCCGGAAAGAGCCGAATCCAGAATGTGAGGAGTATGATCTGTTCCTTGTGGGAGGGTTTTTGTCATCTCCTCCACTTCCAACTTTGCATCATCTTCAGATTCCACATCCTCCTTCTGTATAATATAATATTAATGTAGTTCATTAATATCATTATCGAGCACAAGTTTGAAAAATTAGAATATTAGATAAAAAGTATTAGATGTTATCAAATTGAAATAAAAAATGAATATCATAAACATTTAATTGTGATATTTAATTCATAGAAAAAATATAATTACTTGTACACATTATGATTTTGCATTTATCTCAATTAGCGTATAGATATAAGTTACATTAGAAAAGAAGATTCAAAAAAGAAGGTAGCAGGAAATATATTTCTTCAGTAATACTTCCATCAGATTAAAAG